AAAGAAACATACAACATATTCCATCCATTCACGATTCAATGGGACTTTGGTCTTGAAGAAATGACCCCATTGCTCGGTAAGCCACGTGAGAATCATGAAGTACGGGTCAGGAAGCGAATGCCGTCGGTAACTACAAAATTTCCAGATAAGACGATCATCAGACAGCAAACTCAAAACCTACTGGAATCCAAATTCGGTAATACAATGGGCTTTTCTATACATGAAATCCATCAATTCACTGAGCTGGTAGCAATGTGGCCCAACAAATTCGTACGTTTGACCTGCCGACGTTGGGTCTCTCACAAGAGCAGCAAGGCCCGCTGCGACGTCACCACCCTGAAGGAAGAAATTTTTTTCCAACTTCAGGCGATAAAAATATGTACTATACACTGAAAAAATTTCTCCTATCAAGACCCTATAGGCAATGGACTTACCCAAATTGGCATTTTATACGTATGCTCTCCTTTCTTGTACAGATACACCAAATCGAGTGGAGTTTTTCTCCATCTGCTGACATAATATGAGATAAAACCATCGAGCTCTCCATAAATCAAAGAGGGGCGAACGATGGTAGCACTGGGAAACTCGTCTCGAACAGCGAGCTCTCCCAAACCCTACAGAGCGAATGTAAAAGAAAAAGTGAAAACATGGTAAGTCAGCTGCCCACCTTGCTGCGAAGAAATTGCGACTGCTTGACGAAATGCCCCTTAGGTGGATTTTCTGTAGCACCAAGAGCAGACATATGAATAAATCGTTCGACACCCATCTCTCGACAAATTTTAGCCAGTCTTCGAGCTCCATGTTCGTGTACTTCGTAGTAGCCGTACCTTCTGAAAAGCAAACTGATGGAAGACAATTTCAATCAATCCGGAAATCTCCTCTCCTCATAAGGTGCATCAGTCATGTGATGTAACGATAGGCAAATTGGCAAACTTCAAGATGGCAACAAACGGATGTTACATGCAAGCACACACTCAGGCAGTGTCCGGGAAAAAAATTGATTTTGACTGTGCTTATCTCGCCTATTCGCCATGCTTAATCCGAAAATCCACACGGAAGAGTGCGAAAACAGCGAAAAAGGGCTCTAATCGGGAGGATCAGCAGGTGGACGGGTCTTCCCGACTGTATTTCAGCTCTGCAGCTGAAAGCTCAAACTCACAGTGGAGAAGACCTGCCCACCTGCTGGTTTCCCTCCTGCATAAAAGCCCTTTTCGCACCCCGTGTAAATTCTCGGATTCAGCATAGCGAATAG